TTTTTATTATTTACACTTTAGCCTACATAAGTTTCTACATATTTACATTTAGACCTACTTTTTAAAACTCTTTACCTACCCGAATATTTTAGAAACTTTAGCAATTTCATAACTTTTCATGAAAAGTTCTACATTTCTCTAGAATCTTTCACAATGACAAGTCTTCTCCTATATAGCTCTCCCCATGGGCAAATTTGTTTCATGTGACATTTATGTTGTGATTATTGGCGTGATGATGTGATCAGTCGTCACATTTGGCTCAATTACACTATGCATTCTCTCAATTTTTCAAATACATATATAGATAAAGACATGTGTCCTATTTAATTCTTAAACATAAAAAATTATTGTATTATCAAGTATCTAATCATAGTTAAGGTAAAAAAAATTAAAACCTACTCTTCAAATTTTGATAACAGTATACTCCCCACAAATTTTATTTCCATTAATTTCATCTAATATTTTTATATTTCAATATATAAATTGTATAACGATATTTTTATTTAGACTACTAAGCAGTGTACAAAAAAAATTTATTATTAGAATAAAGTTTTTTAAAAAATTTACACACAAAAAAAACATTTTCTTGTTTTTCTCTAAAAGCTTAATAGCCATTGAGCATCTGCAACAATCACTTTTTCCTTTAACTTTGAAATTTTATATCTCACATTTGTAATTGATCTGATACCACTTGACTTTTTTGTTTCTTGTGCTTTTATTTCATGAGTTTTGTCGATAAACTTTCCTGCATCGATAATTATTTAATCAATTCTCAACTTAAATATGTAAAATTAAATATTTAAATATAAAATTACAAAATTAAATTAAATGGGTGTCAAATTTGTTGGGAATATCGTATTCTTATCAAATCGGAGAGTAATTTTTAAAATTTATTTACTTAATTATGACTATCTAGTCTAATCTTAATCTCTTTTTTCTTTTTTCTCTTTCCTTTTCAATTTTCTTTTTTTTCTCCATTGAACTTTCCACGTTGAATAATTATTTATCATGTGATCTATCTTTTAGTTTTTGTAGCATCCATTGAAGGATGACTTGTTAGTTACATCACTTTGTCTTAATTTTTCCTTCTTGAAGTTGCTTTTAGGATTCTTCATGAACTTCTTGAATTTTCTAGATAAAAAAGAAATCTATAAAATAATTATTAGTCATCTTTACATGGATTTGTGTGACGATCCATCACATTATTATACCAAATAAGCTTCATATAAATGGCACATGACACAAAGTTGCTCATGTGAAGACTTACATAGGAAAAAGACTTGTGCTTGAGGAAGACTCTAGAGAAATGTAGAGATTTTTCATGAAAGATTAGAAAATTGCATACAAAATTTCTATAATATTCTAGATGTAGGAGAATTCTAGAAATTGAAACTAAATGTAAATATGTATGGACTTATATAAAAATTGTTATCTATACTTTAACCCTACACTCATATAGGGCTAAAGTGTAAATAATTATTTTATATCAATTCCTACACATTTACATTGAACTTAATTTTCTAGAACTCTTCACGTAACTTGAATATTCTAGGGACTTTCTATGTAATTTTATAAATTTTTATGAAAATTTTTCTGTATTGCTCTAGAATCTTCCATAGTGACAAATTTTCTCCTTTGTAAGTCCTCCACATGAGAAACTTTGTGTCATGTGACATTTATGTGGTGATTACGTGGCGTGATGATGTGACCGGTCGTCACATATGGCTCCATTTCATTACAGACTCTCTCAATTTTTACAAGTACATATGTAGATAAAAGACGTATGTCATATTTAATTATTAAATATCAGAATTTTATTATATTATCTAGTATTTAATCATAGTTAAGTCAAGAAATTTTAAAAATACTACTCTTCAAATTTGATAAGAACACGATATTTCCCACAATTGATATACATTATTTTCTTCTAATACTTTTATATTCAAATATATAAATTGTAGAAAAATATTTTTACTCAAACTACTAAATACTAGTCTTCAAAAGTATTTTAGTATTAGAATAAATTTTTTTTCAAAAAATTCACACAAACAAAGAAAACACATTTATTGTTTTCCCCTTGAAGCTTAATATGCGTCGAGCATGTGCAATAATTTTACTTAACTTTAAAATTTGTCTTTCACATTTGTAATTGATATGATACCACTTGTTTTTTTTTGGTTCCTTTATTGTATGATTTTGTCGACAAACTTTACTGGCATTGATAATTTTTTAATCGATTCTCAACTTACAATTTTAATATTTAACTATAAAAATATAAAATGAAATTATTGGATGTCAAATTTGTTGGGAATACCTTATTCTTACCAAACCTGCAAAAATATTATCCAAAATTTATTGACATAACTATGATTATGATACTTATTGATGTAGTATAATCTTGACCTTTAAAAATTAAATAAGAAACATGTCTCTAGACATGTACTTGACTAAATAAAGAAAGTGTATAAGTAAAGGGAAGTGAAATCCTCTTTTTTATAATCAGAGTTATCTCAAAAGATAAAAAGCTGCTTTTAGGATTCTTCACCAATGCCTTGTCGTTATTTTGTTTGTTCCTCCTTAATTCGATCTATCTTATTTAACGAATTTTAAAGTTTACAATGAGTTCAACTAACGTAATTTTCTCCAACTCCTTTGTCTCTCTAATGAGTAGTTACTTTATTTTCTGCGCAAAATTTTGAGCATGGTTTCTCATTCACACAAGAAGGATACCATTACGGCTGTCAATTTCAAGAATTCTATAACCTTCTTTCTATATTGAAGGTTCCACGTTATTGAGCTTCTTTACATGTTCAAGGTCATATACCAATCATTCATACACATACATGACAAGGGTGCTTAAGTCTACCAAGTCAAGAGATCACATATTCACATAACTTTCATGCATCAAGAAGAGGAGCTTAGGTCTACCAAATCAAGACACAACATTCCTCATATCATTTATACAATATCATTCAAATACAAAGTAGTGACAGTAAGTCCACCACACAAGATACCCTATCAACACGTATAGAGACTCATCATAGTCTACCATAGTCACATATAATCATTTGAAGGAAATCATGTTTTAACCTCACACCTAAATATACAACATTATCATATACCATTACTTAAAGAAGAATCATAATATTAACACTTCTAATAGATTATATAGTCATCACATAAGTACATTACTCCATACCTTCACATTATACAAGATCACACATATATCACATCATAACATCACCTTACAAAGTCATATAAGCCATAAAACCTTATACATGATCACGTTACTTCATATAAACATCTTCACATTATGCCTTCATATAATCCCTAACATGATACTACTGCAATTTATATAATAATGTCGACAAGACCATGATCATCATATAATCAACACATAAGCACTGTCACCATAAGTGGACCATACCAATCAAGAGCAATTCTATATCAATTCTACACTAACTAAAGAAATTAGGTTAACCTACCATCTTCCAATAGCCAAGATCACCAATCCTTAAGATCTCCTACAATGCACAATATAATAGAATAATTCATCATAGAAATCGTCATTACAACATAATCTAAACTCATTCTATCATCATTAGATCATAAATAATTAACCCACTTTATATCTAAATTTAGAGATTTGATAATATCAAGGATTTATGGAGATTTTCATTGAAAAACATCAATCATACATCAATGACATCATATCTCATTGTTTGAAAACGTTTCACGCAAAAACCCAAGACTTAGAGTAGAATTGGACTTTTTCATAAACTTTGAGATCTTGGAAATCACTTTGAGATTAGGTCTAAGGTGAAATGTAGACTTAGATAAATAACTCTCATACCTTATTAGATCCAAAGAGAACTAAAGAATAACTCCATTGAAATCCATCACCTAGCTCCATTTTGACCTTGAGCTTTCATAAAGGTATTTAAAGAGAACTTTGCGAGGGAAGGATTTTGATTTAGGTGTTAGGGTCCAAATGAGAGTTAAATAACTTTATTACTCTTAAAATACTCAAATACACCTAAAATAAACGTCCTCACAATTTAAAAAACTTAGGGTGAATTTACCAAAATACCCCAAGCTAAGTCGTGCCCAAACCACGCCTACCAACGTCGGCCTGTCGTTTGGACGACGTCCCGTTGATGAGGGCTCGTGGTTTGGTTTAGAGGCTTAATAAAGTGCAGGACTGCAGTCTCCATTGATGCTCCAAGTCGACGAGCCGTCGTTTGGGTCGTTGTTCGGCACTGTCAAACTGCTATCTGGCAGCTTCTAGCCTAAAAATTGGCTTGGTCAATTTCATTTTCCTTAAGTCCGCACCAAATCCCTTCCCTCAAGATGAATATGTGGTCAGTCAAAATTGGCTTGGTCAATTTCATTTTCCTCTAATTTCTTGCATCAATCCAAGTAAAATGAGCGACAATTGTTGACACCCAATTTTGACTCTCCCCCATATAAAATTAACCACTGAGCTTCTTAATTTTTAAACGATTTAGAAATAATTAGCTCTACAAAACTCAAATATTTTGAAGTTACTTTAAGTAATTTAGCCGATTATTATAGTGTTTAATAAGTATGTACATAGCTCGCACTTCTTGAGTATTTGGAAATCGTGTATAAAAGATTCTATCTTCAATTCGATTTGATTTTTTAAAGTATATATGATTCAAAGTTACCTAACTTATTAGTCTAATTATTTTACTTCATTGATTTTAAGAAGCTTGTATTTAATAATTATAATTCATCGTGTTTGAGGTTTGGCGGAACTCCTTAAATTTATTCAAGCCGACTATGTTGCCTTTCGTTTGGTCATTTTCCAGTTCTAATATAGTCATCCTTGTCCCATTTTTGGATCAATTTCAAAGAGAAAATTTTGCCCAACTTTCCTAAGTCATTTTCCCATCTTTTAGATCCTTAATAACAGAAGCCCAACTTTGTTTATTTTATTTCGTTAGGACTAATTTCGTTTTCAATCAGCCAGAAAGCCCGATATTTTCAACCCGGCTCACCTCTCTATCGCCAACATTACAACAGCCCCAACTTCATCTATTCTTTCTCACCACAAATCAACTCCACATGCTGCGAAAACACAAAAAGTGTCGGTCCAGCGACCATGATGAACGAGACGCGATGGAAGTAGCGTACAGTCGTCTTCTGCGCTCACATGTTTTCAGCAGCTAAAGCAGCTGCTATGGCTGCAGATTCATCCTTGTGACCTTTAGATTGAGGCACGTAGTGTCTCAAGGACGTTTGATCGATCCCAAGCATCCACTTCCCCTTTCCCATTTCAGAATAGGGTCGAAAATCCCAAAAAGGTTGGTCTATACATTTTGATAAAAGTTTTGGGGGTGTTTTTTTTGTAATTGAAAGTGAATTATGGAATTTCCATGGATACCCTTTTCCCTCCAAAAATTGGTTACACTAATATTCCTCCTATATATTTTCTCTTCATCTCGTTGATAGAACTAAGGGGAGACGGAAAAAGAAGAGAAGCTGTTTGAGAAAAGATTTCTTTGAGAAAAGTTTTTCTTCAGTAGAACATTGCCTGGCAAGAAGATAGCAAGAAAGACAGTAAAGAAAGTTAAAAAAATTATACACTAAATGCATCTGAAAGAGAGGAGTGAATAGCTTAGAGCTTAGTTTAGTTTCACATCCAAACTTCCGTTTTCTTGGTCGGAAACTCAAGTTTTTCAATCTGGCGGTGAGAAACTCGTCTTCTTCAACTCGAATTCTCGTCCCCATTCGCTACCCAGAAAAAGGTAATACTTCTTGGTGTAGTATTTTGATGTTAGCAAAGCTTTTTCATATGGCTGTTTGGGTTAGATACTGATGTTAGCGAAGCTTTTTCATATGGCTGTTTGGGTTAGATACTGTTAGTTTGTTGATATTTAGATATGGTTTATATGTTCCTAGTTATTCCATCGCTTTGCTCATGATATTGAGTCAAATTCATGGGTTTATGGCTCAATATTATGATTTTAGTTCATTGAGATTGAGTCTGCTGCCATTTTCTTGTACTGCCAATATTGTTAGTTGGCGAGAAATGAAGCAAAAAAATTTGAAATTTGTTGTTGCAAAAGCTGTTTTTTATGTTATTAACTAGGCATAGAATACAATGGCTCATTCTTCCCCATCTGTTGATTATCCGTCTACTTTTTATTTTGTTCCAAGTTTTTCTTGTGCTTAGCCTCATTTCAAGGTAGTCTAAATATTTTGTTTAAGCTTTGGAGTTCAACGGCTTCTTCTTTGTTTCCACTTTGTGTTTTTTTAATTTTTTTTAAAGATGGTTAACAAACATTATAATCGAGTTGAATTTTTTTCTCTCTTCATCAAAATGTGATCATATTTCTTTGAATTTGATGGTTTTATGAGTCGTTTTATTGTAAAGTTCTTCATTGACCTTGAGCACGATTAACAACGGCTTGTTGTTGATTGATTCAATTAGGGTCATGCTCGGACTTACGCGCTTACTGTGAATGTTCTCTTTATATCTATACTCGTTTTCTTACCTAGTCTATTTACTTATGCATAGGCATACATATTCTTAATTTTTTTCTTTTTCTCCAAGCCTGGACTTTAAATAAGTTTTGGGTAGGATTCTTAAGCTAATAATAGTTTTTGATTATCTCGATATTTAGTTTTCTTGTTACTTTTAAATCAACACTAACTGTGGAATGTTTATTGCTTAATTATCAGTGATTCATTTTTGTGTCGTTAAAAATCTAACAATAGACATTTACAATATCTTTTCCGATCTGTGGTTTATTTTCAGTTTATTTCATTAATCTCGTATGCTAATTTTCTATTTTATTTCCTCTGTTGTTATGAAAATTTACTCCCGGCTTGCAATGAATTCCATTTCCCTTCCTTGAATCCTCTTGTAGAGGCGATGTTGAAACCTTTATCCAGTCAATCATCCAAAATCGGCGGACAGATTTTGGAGTAGAAATAGCTTGAACAAGTCGAAGAAATTGAAGGATTTGTGTTAGAGAGTCCAAAAGTTCTTTTTTATTTTCTAAGTTGTCATGTTTTGTCGTTTTTGGGCCTAAGCCCTTGTCGTTTTGTCTTCCATATTTTGTATTGTTGTATGATTATAGACTAGAACATGTACAAAATAAAGTGAACCAAAAGCCCAAAACAAAGCGGGTCCAAATACCGATCCAGGCGGACAGAAATTGGATTTAGACACAATCCTCTCTCTCTCTCTCTCTTTACTCTATCATTTACTTATCTGCTTTTATTTGTTTCTAGTTCTAAGGTCAGATCCAAATCCTCGCAAACGTCATAATGTTTTATCAACCCAAAATTGAATCAAATGTAAATAGGTTTTTCTTCAAAATAAAAGACGAATAAACTAGCAAACCAAATCTTACTTGGTTATTAAAATTAATACTTCTTTTACATAAATAACTTCAGATAAAGTTATAGCTTAAAACTTTTAAATCTTTTAGCCGAATAACATTAGTTGATTGGAAAATCGCATTAGCGAATATTTTAGGTGTCGTAAAAATCTTCCTAAAATATAAATAACAATCCCCGGACCCCTTTAAAGTTTTCAAAATGATTTTTCTATTTAAGTATTTCGAAAACAAAAGTTTTCTTGATTTTTCTTTAATAATTAAGTGGTGACTCTAAAAAATTAAAAATGAATTAAAACATATATTTTACCGAAAATGTATAAGATAGAAATGGCGACTCACCAAGGGATTTAGAGGATTCTAACCTTAAAACTAACGTATTGCATTCATGGCATATCACAACTCCGTCAAATGATGATTATTTTTATTTACCACTTACAGGACGATTATGCAGGTTCACAGTCTTTCATTAACCAAATCTTTCTTGGGGCACCATGATGAATGTAGTTGGCTACTTGATACTCAACGGTCGTTAATTTTCCCAACCCAAGTAGTTCGTTTGGGTTACCCTTTCCACTATAAATACAACACACTCCTAGTTAAACTAAAATAAAGCGAAACCAAATCCTGAAAAGTAGCGCATTGGCCTAAGATGACTCAACACCCAAGGAGTGTTGGGCCCATTCGAAAGATCGCCTTGAGTCCAAAAAGCCCACAACTCGATAGGAAGATCATATTTATGTGCTGAATTTGAAAGATGTTTGTGTGTTTAACTGTTTGTGGTGTTCTAGGGGTAGAAACAAACTAGTTGTATGTTTTTGTAGATGCCGAGTCAATTTCTCAGTTTCAATATGGTCACCAAGACACCAGACATTCTTCGCATATGGTGGAACAATCTTAAAGCTTGTCAAAAGAGGGAAATCTCGATCCAGTGATATACCATGGTTTCACAGTATAATTAATACTTTTTCCTTAAGTTTAGTGTGTCCGAAAGTCTTTTTGTGCTAATTTTTATATAAGTTTCTCTTTGTTTTGCAGGAAATCTGTCCAAAGCTGAATGCGGAGATTTTGAGCAAAAAAATGCAGAAGAGACCACCTACGGAGCTTATGACGGTCCGTCTTGCTTGTGACGGTCCATAGGTGGCAGCGTAGTGCAGCTGCTGAAGGAAGATGGGGAAGTCCGACCAAGTGTGGGGTTACGAAGCTTGTGACGGTCCGTCGTGTCTATGATGGTCCGTCCCGCAGGTTCGTCATGAAGTTCAGAGAAGTGATCCCAGTACCCAGATTCCAAGAGTTGAAGTGTTTTGGAACGAAGACCCTCGACAGACCGTTGTGCCTATGACGGTCCGTCATACTTGCCGTCGAGGGTGGTGAAGAGAGCAATAGAAGAAATTGCATAAGTATGGGACGACGGAGTCCATGATGGTCCGTCGTAACCAAGACGATCCGTCGCATGGTCTGTCGACCCAGCCGCGTTTTGGCAGATTTCCAGCAAATAGAGTCCTTGTTTAATTAGGTTTTTATTTTTTTATAAAGAGTTCAAAAAACCTCGTTTTTGAGGTTAGACTCTTAGATTGTTAAACTCCGTATTGGTAAGCATTGTATTGTGAGATTCTTGATAATCATTAGACTTTTTGTGAGATTATTGATTACTTTGAGATTCTTGCAAGTGAATATTGGTGATTAATCAAGTAAATTTTCGGATTTTACTCTTTCTCATTGAAGTAAGTACATGAATTCTTATTTAATATATTTGAATATTGTGAGTATGACTATGAGTAACTAAACTCCATAACTAGGGTTGTGGGAACCATAGGCAAATAATGAGATAAAACCTAACTAAAATAACAATTCTAGAATAGTGTCTTGCATGTATTAATAATTCTTTAACTTAGAAGTTTCTTAACGGATGGCCAACGTTAGAACTAGCCTTAATGCTACTTGCCGGACCAAGGAGGTAGATAATAGGAAAAGAATTATTAACATAGATTTAGTGTATACTATCTAATAGGCTAGTATTGATTGGTACGAGGTAATAACTTAGTCAAATATCGAATACGATGCTTAATATGAGTTAAGGATAAGGGTTAGGATAGCAACACACATAGCCAAACCAAGGTGCGGAGTGAGATTTTCTAGATGTCGGACCAAGGATTTAGAAATACATAACTTATCACTTTGCATGCAAGTGTTATAGTTAGAATTATCAAGTTATGAACTTATGGGGAACACGTAAACACTAGTTACTTTGGTTAATTGATTAAAATCCAACATTCAAAGCTGTTAAGTGTCTCTTTCAAGTTCATTAGTTATTTTCACTCATTTAGAAATAGAAACCCCCCTTTTATTTACTTTCCAAGGAAGTCAGTGACCAAACAATAGTAATAACAGGTTGAAGTTAAGTCTGGACTATTTATCTCGTGGGAACGATCCCAACCTCACTAGTTGGGTTATTTACTTTACACGACCGCTTTACTTCTTATTTGAGAAGTAAGTTTGAGCGTATCAAATTTTGGCGCCGCGGCCGGGGAAGGTAGATTTTAGATTAACTTGAACTTATTACTATAGTTTAGTTAATATTTTCTTGATTTTACTTTGTTTTATTGTTTTTGATTTCTTTTCAGAACTATCCTCCTTGTATGCCAAATACACGGAGAGGAAGAGAACCTTTGTTTCCCTACGATCACGAGTTAGAGCGTACACTGCGTAATATGAATCGAAACTTGGGAATATATGATGATGATCCGAACCAGAACATCCCCGCTCCGGTTGATGTTCATGGTCAGATGTTAGCCGATGCTCCGGGTGAACATCAACAAAGGGGATAAAATCCCGTTCCACGTCCCCAAGCATACTACAGAGGGTATGATAACATAGCAGACTCGGATGACCCACTTGTCTTGCCCCCTCTACCCACAGGCCACACTTTTAAGATGATCTAGGACAACTTGCATCAGTATATTGAATGTACGATTATGCGAGTTGGAATGCTAAATGACACTTAAGATTGAGAAGGAGTAAGAAAGAACACTTACCTTGGCTCTGTTCAACACAAGATTTACTAACTCTTATTCAATGTATGTCGTTTAAAAGAAAATGCAATATAAAGAAAATTGACTGAAATATGCTGAAAACTCTTGAATGTATACAAGTATACAAATAATATATGATATGCATGTAAAAATACAAACAATTGATGTACACGAAAATATAATACTTCTCTGAAGCTTCTCTAACCGACAAACCATCACTTAAAAGTTATAGTGATGATACAATGTTACTCGACCCACGCTGTTCCACCATCCTAACATTGCCAGAGTATAGGTTTTGAACTGCCTAATGGATCCACTAGTATACTATGAAGAGGGATAATTTTAAAAAGTATGATCATATTCTACCTATGAAGGTTACATGGTTTGTTATGGATACTTGAGTTCATATGAACTCGCATCCCCAAATCGGTGCTCAATACTACTCCCAAAAATAAATGTTGGCTCTTATGTTTTTAAAATATACTAATTTTGTGGTTTGAGATTATTGTCCAAAACTTAGATTTAGTACATTCACTTGGAAATCATAGTTTCCTTGCTTGCTTTATTTAATAAAGCTAATACTTCTTTTTTTAAAACTAGCCTAAAGTATCTTTACTTGTTTAAATGTTGAATACATCTGTAACTCTTAGGGATTACTTATACCCGTTATAACTCTTGAGAATGAACTCAAATCTTTACTCTTTCTTAACTTGTGACTTGAGTGTTAAAACAAAGTTAAAAAGGTTTGTTAAAGACTCTTTGAAACATTAAGAATTCACTAAGTTTATCATGCACTGAGCCTAAACCTTAGGTGGGATTAGCACTCGGTGACCATTGCTGGACTCGAGGAACCCTTGGCCTAGATTACTAAACTCAGCGGAAGACAACAATCACACTTATAAGGATAAAATAACTTAACTGAACTGATTAGTAATACTATTTGGAATGTTTTAAAAGTTTAAACATTCACCAAGGCCAAAATGGCAACACAAGTCATTAAAATAAAAATGAAAATGTAATGAATACTGAACTACTTACTGTCTATGAAGCATCTAAACTGACTGATATGAATGTTGGGAGAAACCCTACAACATTCTATTGAAATAATAGAAACAATAAAAGATGTCCTCTCGAAAGCAAGGAGGCTCATCAATTGACTCAGGGATGCTCAACTTGATCAATGGTGCGTTGGATGTCAATCCTCATTACTTTTATTTGCATCATAAAATGATGCAGGCCAACATGCATCAGTATAATGTATGTGTGAGTGTGCGAGTTAGAATGCTAAACGACACTTGATCTTGAAAAGGAGTAAGAAAGAACACTTACCTTGTCTCTATTCAACTCATGATTTAGTAACTCTTATTCAATATATGCAGTTTAAAAGTAAATGCAATATAAAGAAAACTGAATGAAAAATGTTATAAACTTTGAATGTACACAAGTATACAAATAATATATGAGATGTATATAAAAATACAAATAACTGATGTAATTGAAAAAACAATACTTCTATGGAAGCTTATCTAACCGACTACCATCAGTTAAGAACTATGATGATGCAATGTTACTCGGCCCACGCTGTTCGACCATCCTAACATTGCCAGAGTATAGGTCCTGAGCTGCCTAATGGCTCCACTAGTATACTACAAAAAGGTTTCATCTTAAAAAGTATGATCATATTCTACCCATGAAGGCTACATGGTTTGTTATGGATACTTGAGTTAATACGAACTCGCATCCCCAAATCGGTGCTCAATAATACTCCCAAAAATATAAATTGGCTCTTATGTTTTTAAAA